TGTGGCCTCTAGCCCAACCCCTTGGCTTAAAGGTTTTATTCCTTTATGACATCTGTATCTTTCCAATGATATCGCCAAATATTGTAGTTTTCAATTTTTATACCCCTAATTGTTGTAGAGTGTATGTAATTGAATTGCTACAAGTTGAAAATTTGTTAACTTGTAAAGATTTCTTAATTTTTCTACTTCATTTAAAGCCTCTTGATAATTTATATTTTGAGTGAAAGAGATTTTGTCTATTCAAACTAAGACTTAATTTTTAAAATTTTGAAATTTGTTTTAACAATTCTTTTTGATTTTGAATGAAAATAATTGTATGATGATGAATACTTTAAAGGAAAGGACTTGACTTTCTTTTATGAAAATGTTGTAAATTTACTACATTAATTTTGTTTTTGATAATTTCAATATATTGTTTCAAATTACAAGCTAAAACTCTCAGATTTAAATTCTCATATAAGCGGAGAGAGATTTGGAAATACAGAAGCTATTTCCTCTCCCCACTGATGTCCTACAATTGATTATGCCATTATATCAAATCCAAGGCTTACATACAAGTGTGCTTCCTCGAGCTAACGGGTCATTGGTGGCTGTAATGTCTGCCTGCCCAGACATTGCCAGTTACGTAATTCTGGGAAAGTTGAAATCCTCTATATATATTACCGGCGGTTTAAAGCCAATTGTCGTCCCTCTACTTTAATATTTTATTCGTTCTTGTCCCTCTACTAAGGACATGTTCGTTGTCGTCCCTCTACTCTACCAAAGAGCCAAAACGTCGTCCCTCTACTTCGCTTTTTTTGTTCGTTGTCGTCCCTCACCTAACACCGTTCATGTTGCCATCACTGCTGACCGTTAAGTCCTAAACGGTCAGCAGTTTCCCATTTGTTCTTTTTTTTTTCCACATGTGCTACCATGTGCAAGAATGGGGACCACTTTGTCCAATTTGCCTCCTTGCTTACTCAGACCCCTTACTTTCATTTTTTTTTTTTTTCTGTTGCAGAGATGCCATACTTTCATTTTTTTTTGTTGCCGGGATGCCAACAAGTTTACCTGCGAAAAAAAGTAAGTCAAGCGGGAATCACCATTTAAATAATTTAAAATAATAAATTTAATTAAATGCATATAATTTTTTAAATTTAAACTAACAAATATTAAAAAATATAATATAAGAAAAATTTACCAAACATCATAATAAGAGAGAACTCAATTTTAAACTAAATTTACTACAAAATAAGTTTTAAATATAATTTAAATAAATATAAAAAAATATTAATTTTTCAAA